TAGTAGAAAGTATATTGGTAATGATAACAGGAAATAATGCCTGACTTACAAACATTGACATTCTATATTAGACAAAATGTATTCAATAAATCAACTTCAATATACCATAAAGTGAAGAGAAGGAAATCACTTCATTTTTTTCTAGATGTTGGCCATTTTAAATAAAATCAGAATTTGTTAAAGGTCATTATACTCTCATTGATGAACCTGTATGGTCCTGGGGTGTTTGACAATGGGAAACCTCAAGCTTGTTTATGAAAACGGTTCTACTTTTATTTTAGAGGTTATTTTGTTCATGTATACATTACCAGAATACCACCCATTTACTCTAGGTTTCTAGTTCAATGCAATTGTTTTCTCTTATTTATATAATTTCCACAGAATTTTAAATCCTATGTTTTTCTATTTCTTCAATCAGCAGTATTCTAATGGCATACTTCTTAGTTTATCTTGTTCTCAATTTAGGCAATTATCATGTTTGACACTCTCTTATGACCCATTAACAATCTTTAATAGCTTAAAATTAATCTCTGCTTAATAAGACCTCTTCAGTAGGACCTTGCTTCCAGTGGTATTGTTTTTTTTTAAAGTTTATTACAAGATACAATTCAATACTTTTTTCAAAATTGGAAGAGATTGTCCTAAGCAAAATTTGAAACCAGTTTGAGAAGATAGAAGCAGAATGATGATAGTTTTTAGTGCCTACTATTGATGTCTAAATCCATTTAAGATGAAATTTTTATAAGATGTAAATCAATAGAATATCTATAAAAACCAAGTTAAAGAATGCTTTTTGTAAATCAGGTATATTTGCTAAAATCACATTTTCTCCTGTTAAAAAATACAAAATTTGAAGATTGCTTTAGTCTCCACTTATTAGGTAAAATGACCATGGTTATAATCTCAGTATTTATGTATCTACTGAGCATAGTAATTGAAACTTTAATATAGTGATTCATACCTTTCTAGTTTATTACTTTCAAATTTGAAAAACATGTTTTTCTATATTATTAAAGGTTTACATTAACGAAAATGTTACTATTGTTCATGGTAAGCAAAAATGGACCTTCAATTAAGCATGCTGCTTAACATGATGTCAGGATTTTTGTTATGAAGAGCTTTATTACTTATGTCCATTCTGTTCAAAATAAAAATTTAAAAGTACCAAAAAGTACCAGGATGCTTTTAATTTCAGCATTGTGTATTTCTTATTTTCAAATTATGTATGTATATATTAGCCTTTGACAAGTCTTGAAGTTTTATTTTGTGAGAAGTACTCTTATTGTATAGCTCTTTTCTTTTCTTTTCTTTTTTCTTTTTTTTTTTTGCTATAGGGTGCATGTACTTGCTGGGGAGAGAGAGAAGAAGAGGAAAAGTAAGAAAGTACCCATCAGGGGAAATAGCCACACCACAATCCTTTATCCTCCATTCTCCTCCTGGAATTCTGGACACTCATGCACTCATGCTTGACTGATTTTAGAAGCCACGAGGTCCAGGATGTGAAACATGCAGTTGGCCATGTGGAATCCAGCCACCTTATTCACCACACTACCAGCTAGGCCTGTATTTTATCTTAATGTCCAGTGGGTACTGCTACGTGCTTACAAAATACTTTCGGGAACAGAGATTTAAAAACAAATCTCATCTGTCCATTGAGCACATTCATTCCTATGGTCAACAGAATAATGGTCCCCATGAAGTTGACACCTTCTAAACCCCAGGATCTGTGAATGTGTCACCTTACATGGCAGAAAGGACTCTACAAGGGTGATTAAAGTAAGGATCTTGAGGTAGGGAGATTTCCTTGGCTTATCGAGGCTGACTTAGTAAGAACTCAACACATATAATTTGGGGCAACTAGAATTTTGTGGAACCTGGGTGATTGTCCCAACCTTCAGTCAAATAAGTTCTTTTGCTTTACTCACTCTGCCACAGTCTGCCTTTTCAGACTGGCACTATATGCATCCTTCATATGGGACTTGTCTGTATCCTTTATAATATCCTTTATAATCAGCCAGTAAAGAGAAAAGTTTTCCTGGGTTCTGTAAGCCACTCCATCTAGTTAATTGACCCAACTCCAGGAGAAGTATTTAGGAACTCCTGTTTATAGCTCATGAGTTAGGAACTAGGTAAAAAACTACCTGGGGCATATACCTGCCATCTCAACCCTGGATGGGCAATCTTTAATTTTTGTTTTGTTTGTTTTAGGTTTTTGCCATAGTGTACATACACTCACCTTAGAGAAAGTGACAAAGACAGCGAGAGAAAAACTAAGATATCAACCCCCAGTGGTTATGAGTATGCTGAAATCTCCTTCTCTTCCATGTCTCCTTGGGCATACACACACACACACACACACACACACACACACACACACATGTGCTCAACATAGTTTAAAGTCACTAGGTCCAGGACTTGAACCACAATCAGCCATGTGGGAGTCTAGCTCCTTAAGCACTATGCCACCTTCAGGGCCCAGCAATCTTTAATTTTATTTTAAATTTGCCAAAGGGCTATGTGCTCACCAGAGAAAATAGGTCACATAGAGATAAAGGATAAGAGGGAAGGGAAAATGTAACCTCCAATGAGCCTTAGTCATACCACAATTTCTTTTCCTTTGTTTCTCTAATATTTTGAGATTTGGGGCATATACATTTAAGTCATCTGATAGAATTTAAACTGCATAGTCAGCCAAATTGCATATGGTATCCTTAATAGCCAGGCCATGAAGTCAGAATATTGGGGGCTGGAAGTTGGAGAGTGACTCCTCAACCTGTAGGATACAACACAATCTCCTAGTAGATACTGTCAGAACTGAAGAGTCAGAGGACAGTGAGTAGGTATTGTGCAGAACTAACTGCTTGCTTGTAATAGGGAAAGGCTTCACACACTTGATCACAGAAGTTCTGTGGGGATTGCCTAGAGGACGAGAGAAACTGAGTTGTTTTTATGCTTGGTATTATTACATTGCTGCGGGTAGGGTGGGAAACTGCTAGCAAATGTCAGGAAAATTCTCTGGATGATGGAAATATACCACTTAAGTGCCTAGGTTAGGCAAAAACACACATATCTGTCAAAATTCACTGAACAGAATGTACAACTACTATCTGTTCAATTCACTGTAATAAATTATACCATGATTGTAAAGAAAAATAAATAAATAGGTTCATGGTGGTGGGGGGGCTACCACAGTAATTTAAATATTAAACCTGACCCAGCCTCTGTGGCCCACTAGGGAGCTGGAAGCCACATGCCAATGCGATTTGCTTCCCTGGTTTAGTAGGCCTGAAAACACATCAGGCAAGTAAGTGCCAGCCTGGAGGACTAGTACAAGTGGGGCCAGACATGACAAACCCTGTGGAGGGTCCTCCCCCAACTCTCTCTCATGTACATGTTTTATAGGCACTTTAGACACTGCCTCCCAGACATCTCATTAAGTGCTCTGGACCCCAAGCTATGTGTCATGATAACATACTTGTTCTAAGTCACTGTACATTGCTCCTTGAAATCCTAAGCAATTGCTAATCCTGTATTTTACTCAGTATGAAAAATTCTGACTTTTATTACTGCAAAAGGGAGTAATTTCACTCACAGGCAGTTTTTGGAATCCAGTGACCCCAAACCATCATCACCCAGACCCTGTGTTTGAGAGAAAAAAGGACCAAGATGATCTGAGAAGGTGACTTGTGAGAATTGCCCCACGCAGACATGGTGTTTGGATGTTAGTATGCAGTACAACTCTGACCCTTAGAAATGCCCAGAGTAGAGAAAAGGTACATAGTTCCTCCAATCTGGCCTGGTCTGGGCCCAGCTCCCTGCAAGTCACCACCCCGATCCCCCAGGACTGGACTGATTATCTTAATCTTCTAACACGAGGATGACAAAGAATCCCTACACATCTGAGGTTATACACCCTGGCTCTCTGGTATGTTCTGAACAGAAAAAGGTCAGGTTTCACACACTTGTGTTATTCTCACCAACAGCCTGAAGCCTTTCCACACAACCAGCTAAATACCCCAAATCCTATAGCTTTCAGGGTGTCTACTGGATAGTCAAGGGCTGCCAACTCCCAGCAGTGCCCACAGGCCTCCTCTAGACCAAGTGCAGGCTGATCAGGAACTCTGACAGGTGAAACAGCTTGACTGGTGGGGAAGGAGTGGACAGCAGGGAGCAAACTGAGAGTGACCATGACCTCTTCCCCAAACACACCAAGAGTAAGCGAGACACACAGCCCAAGGACCCATTACCCACCACATGTGAGCACTTTTCTATAGTCACACCGTTTACCACTCACTAATCACTGCAGGAACGCTATCTGAGGGAAGCTGAAGGGCAGTGGAGGCCTTGATAGGAGAATGGGTGGGCAGATCCAGTGACCTCCATGGAGAACACAAACAAGGAAGAGTGAGTGGGAGGAGGCCAAGGCACCCATTCAGGACTACAGCTCAAACTGACAAGAGACTTCCAGGCAAGTCCTGGGGCCCAGGGGCAGGACCTGCAAGCAAGAGGTGCCAGAGCTGTTGGTGCCCTCTCCCACTCGGGCACAGTAATATCTGCAATTCATCAATAGCCAAATAAACGTCTTTCTGTGCTTTTTATTGAGGAAAAAATAAAAGGCACCCAAGATGATTAAAGCTAATGTGTGACTTTCTCGTTTCGAAAGGCACAGGGTTGAGGGAGTGAGGTCACTGCTGGACCTGAAGAGTGGAAATGACATCAGCCAGCCTGGCTTGATGGTCCCACTCAGGACCAATTCCCTGTCCAAGCCCATTCCCAGCCCCGACTAAGCTCAAGTTAAGAGCCAGGCTGCAGGTCTCAGGAGAGTCCTCCGAACTGGCTTGTAGTCCCTCCCCAACTCCAAAAGACCATCATTTTTGCCTCCAGCAGAGACAGCTCTATCTTATAAACCTGACTCGCAGGGCACTCACCTGTGAGCAAGACCCACTGAGGTCAACTGTTACCGCTGTGGTCCTTGTAGCTATGTATTCACCACCCCTTCTCTCTGCAGCCCAGAAAGGACCAAGTGCCGGGTCCACGGAATAGTTCAACGTCAACAAACCGTTGCCATGGTGCTGGCGGTGCTCTGTGCTCCAGGATTGATTAGAGGCGAGGGGCGTGGCATCTGGTTCAAACCTGCGCGCGGCGGAGCCTGGACGCGCCTGTTCCCTATTGGCGATGCTGGCGGGGAGGGCTCGGCCGTTGCTCTTTGCCAGCGCAGGCTCCTAGATCCCCTTGGCCTGCTGTAGTGCTCTGTGCCCGCCAATCAGCGAGCGCGGAGCGTGGTCAGCGTTAAGGTGAGTCTTTGTGGACCTGGGCTGTGGAGCGCCTCTGTCAGTTGGGGATGCACTGGGGACTGAAGTTTTGGGATACAGGATTCCTGAGCAGGTGAGCGATGGAACCGGAGGGTCAGGGTATGGGTCACTGGCTCAGATGGAGTCTGGGCGGTGGAGGCCTTCATGACTTGAAGGGGCCGTGATCAGGCTGGGGGTCCGGAAAGGGCACCCGTGGGGCCTGCAGCACCGCTTGAGGGAGCAAGCAGGTGTGTGGGAAATGGGGCGAGGAGCAGTCTGAGGGGGAGCTGGGGTCCACGACCACCCTGCCAGTCCCGTGGTCCCCTCTCACCGTTGCTCCTGTCACTGGACTGCACGGTTGTTTTTTAAGGGCTCAATCCGCAGATTGTGTAACTCTCAGGAGACCTCATTAACCTGATTTCTTGTCATGGCCGGAACTGAAGCGGCGCCAGGTCCGTAGTTGCAGGCCCTGAACTGGAGGTGTGCTCCCCACTGCCTGCTTGAGATTTAATCATCCCTAACTGTCCCTGAAGAGATTGTGCATGAAATATTTGCTATGGTGACTGCACATTCTATTAAGTCTAAAAAATCAAGTACAAGTTAGTGGGTTTTACTAAAGTTTTAGGTAGAAAAATTTGGAGGCTTTTCCTTTCAGAAAATTCTCATTGGAAATATCATTTTCTGAAAAGTCCTGCTGTTTGAGAAACATTCAGAAAGACTGTTTATCTTTGGTCGATATTCCTACGGCTAAGGCTGTTCTAGAACAAGTCCTGTGCCAATGATTCTCAACCAGGACTGATTTTGTCCCCTCAGGGGACATTTGGCATTGTCTGGAGACATTCTTGGTTGTCACTGCTAGAGGGCGAGGACGCTTCTAGGAGCCATCTAGTTAGTGGAGGCCAGTGATGTAAACATAGATAAACATACTAGGAATCATAGGGCAGTCTCCAAGACAATGTCTACATTACAGAAGCTGAGGAGCCCATGGTTATCAGGTGCTGGGAGCCCAGCAGGGCGCTAAGGTATCAGGACAGGTGTAAAGTGCTAGGAGTTTCTCTAGAGTGAGGACAGGGAGCTCCATAATAACACCTTTTGCTGCTAATCTGTGGGTTCCCAAGCAGTATGTCCAGCTCCATCTATTTTTGTTTTTGTTTTTTTGAGAGGTTTTTCAGGCAGTATGTCCAGCTCCATCTGTTTTTGTTTTTGTTTTTTTGAGAGGTTTTTCACTATAGGGCACATGCACTCGCCAGACAGACAGAGAGACAGAAAGCGAGAAATCACCCCCCAGAGGGGATGGCCACGCCGCAATCCCTTCTCCTCCATTCTCCTCTTGGGATCTTGGGCACGCAAGCACATGTGCCCTGCGTGGGTTTTAAGCCACCAGGTCCGGGACTCGAACCATGGTCGACTACATGGGAGTCCAGCGACATAGCCATTACACTAACTGCTGGTTCCCTCCAGCTCCATCTGTTAAAGTAGTCTTATTTAACTCTCATGACAGTGTTACTGAGGTGGGTGGGCAGTATCTCCTATTTCAAACAAACTGTGGTTCAGAAGCTTTAAGAGCTACTGCAGGTAGAAAGGAGTGGGGACCAGTTCAAATTACATCAGTGCATCTGAACATGTGCTTACTCAAGAACCAAGAGCTACAACTGTTCAGATGAAGTGCAGGTCTCCTGAAGCTATTTTTTCCCATGGAGAGACCACTGGATTAGATTAGGCCCCCAACCTGTCTCTCTGTCTTGACTACTTCCGTCCCAGTTTTTCCTCCACACCACAGTCATCTTTTCTCCAAACTGAAACTTTTAGATTTCCTTTCCTTACCCTCAAGATAAATCCACCATCTTAATTATAGCCTAGAAAGTTGGGAGTTGAATTCAATAATACATTTTTGTTAAGGATGTTCAATATATACATGCCTGAGTAAGATGTGTATCACAAAATAACTACAAGATGTTAGTTATTCATGGTCACTAATAGAACTTCATCTTTTTTTCCCCTAAGGTTTTTGCCATAGGGTGTTTGCACTCACCAGAGAGAGACAAGCCATTGAGAAGGAAAGTGAGAAATCACCTCAGAAGGGTAGGTGGCGGAAATGACCATACCGCAATCTCTTCTCCTCCCGGAATTTTGTGCATGCATGTGCTTGTTTTTGAAGTCCTTTTAAAGCCACTGGGTCCAGGATTAGAACCTCAGTTGACCATGCTGGAGTCCAGTGCCCTAACTACTATGCATCTTGTTGGCCCCCTAGAACTATATGTTGAGGATAGGATCAGTAATGTTTTTTTCTACAAATGAAGATGCTCAGGGGGCAGTATTTTGACTATATAGAATGGGATCCTTGACCATTGGATAAAATCACATGCATACTTTTTAACTATGAAACTAACAAAATGTATTAAAATGAGTATAATAAAAAAAGTTTACAGGATGTTTTACTTTAAATCTACAAATGATCAGTTTATTGGAGGCAGGAATTCTGGTTTATATCTTTTTCAGTATCCAATAATCATGGTGAATATGCAATAGGCTATGGTAATTCAGGCTTAATTAAATTGCAGTGTGTGATGAAGTGAACAAGTTTTGAGAGTGTACTCTGTCCACCATCTGGTGGAAAGGAAGGGAATACATTACACAATATTTTGTTTTAAAGCATAATGGATCTTTCTTATCATCTAGTGGTAATGAGGTAATATGGAATTGAATATGTTAGTTTTGAAAGACTAATGGTTTTATGCATGTTGATCACCCAGAGAAAATTAGGGAATATATTACATATATGACTTATGGAAGGTTAAACATATTAGTTTTTATATTAAGATAGGCTTGATATTAAGATGGGTTTATTGGTGTGCATTTTTTTAAAGAGATTTTCACTGTAGGGTGCGTGCGCTCGCCAGATAGACAGAGAGAGACATAGAGACAGAAAGCGAGAAATCACCCCCCAGGGGGGATGGTCACGCTGCAATCCCTTCTCCTCCATTCTCCTCTCA